CTTGGCAGGACATAGTGATATCAATAGCCATTCCATAGAATATGAAAAACTTTTTAAATTAGATACTTATACCCATAGGATATTACTGTTCTTTATTGTCGCTTTTAGTCCTCTAACGTAAAAGCTATACACTATGACAACCTGGTCAAACTATCTTATATTTTGAGACTAACCAACAAAAGATTTTTTTAAAAAAAGAAAAATTAGCAGGAAGCTTGATTTAAAAGTACATGTAGCCAGGCATGATGATGCTACCTGTAGTCCCATCCAGTTGAGAGGCTGGGGCTAGAGAATCACATGAGCCCAGGCACTTGAGTCCAGCCTTGGCAACATAGGGAGCCTCTTCATTAAAAAAAAAAAAAAAGAAAAAGAAGAAGAGAAGAAAGTACAAGATATAATTAATCAAAAATTTTTGTACTTCAGTGAAAAGAAATATGAAAATGCAATAAGAAAGAAGATTTCACAGAAATATTGTCAAAAGTAAAGTGTTGTGGCTTTTCTTGTTGACCACATTCTCCCTATGAGTTTTTAAGATAATGCAATTTTAAATTGCATTAATAGCAGCATAATATTTAGAGAAGGAAATAACATTGATTCTTACAAAAACCATTGTTTTTAAAGTATCTATGTGCCAGGTACCATTCTAGACAATGGAGATATATTCCACTTTGTACTATTGCTATGTCATTTAAAAAAATATATAGGTTTATATAACCTGGAGGGAATAATCACATTATAATTATAGGAAAAGAACTAACTTTTAAAGTCAAACAAAATCACTGTACAATAATTTCTCTGAGTTATTATATCTGCTTACACAAATATATTAGCAAAAAATCCATTTAGAGTAGTTTGTTTTCTGAACACAGAAATCAATGCAATATGCTCTACTGGCAGATAGAGAGGTCAGTGGTTCTCAAATTTTGGAATTAGATTTAACAATCTGCTTGTTAAAACACAGATTACTGAGCCCTGGCACATTAAGGCTGTGAGCCATCTGCTTTTCAAATGTTCAAACATCACCATCAGCAACATTTAAAAATAGTTTATTTTTCTTTTAATTTTTTTACATTCTTCCCAAACATCTCTTACTCTGAACTATAATAATTTCTAGAATTCATATTCTGTTATTTTTAAATAAACTTTTAATATACTGCAATTTTAAACTGTAATGAGTGTTATATTATTTGAGATGTTTTAAAAATTAATTTGTAAACCAATCCATATGCACATGATACTCTAAATTGACTCAATCTTTTCCACAAATCAAGTTCAAATATTCTTAATATTCTGGATTGATAAATAAGTAGGCAGATGCTCTCTGAGTTAAAAGTTTTATAACAAAGAAATAATTAATTCCTATCCTTCAGCAAAGTAAACATGGGAGAAGACGAGAAAAGCTAAGTAGTGACCGGTGAGTGTATCAGGTCACAAAAGTGCATAGGAGATGAAATCAGCCCTTGTTCACTATGATCACTTCATGCTGACATCTGCGGAAATGTACATCATCATATTATCCTGTCTCGTTAGCAGGTAATTAGCCTACATCACTTGCTGTTGAGTCTTTCTCCTCCCAACCTTAAAGCATTTTGTTCCAATTCTTTCATTACTGCAATACCTCTCAAGGGAGCTTGGAAAAATACTCCAAGGCTGTACTCCCAAGCCATACTGGCACAAAAATAATTATCCCAGGATTTCTCAGACCCTGTTTGCTCAGATCTGCCACAGGCAACGCCTGTCCACACTGTATATATCATGCAGGGGCACTTGGGATCTTGCTGTTGCCCAAGGATTTACTTGAACTTCTCTTCAAAACCTCCATCCTCTATTTAGGGTTTCTTTTCCCTGGCATTTGGCCTGAGATTTCAGCCAGGGCAGAGAACACCCCTCTGTGGAAATCATGCCAACATCTAACTCTATTATATCTATCCCCTTACAGTCTGGGAAACTTGAATATTATCTGCAGAGACAGAAAACACTGGCTCTGACTGACTTCCCAGCTTAAGCTTTTGAAGCTCAGAAACTAAGTACTGACTTTTTTTCTGTATTCTGCCATAATTAATAAGCCTACATGGAGGTAATGGATACTTCTTGCCCTAGCTGGTTAAGGAGGTGGTGAGGAGGGAAGAAAAGGGGGTGAGAGGGTCATTCCTGGGATAACTGGGACAGAAATACAAGTGTGAAGTCTTATTCTCAAATTCATATAGACAAGGAAAGGGCAAATATAAGAATGAATATTTACAGGAGAAGCTCTTTAAATAATGTGGAATTCTTGCAATTAGGTGAATTGTGAAGTGAAAATGTCTCTACTTAAGAAAAAAAGTATTAGAGGGCAAAAACATTAAGTTAGTGTAAAAACTAACCTACACAGCTGTGAGACAGAAATATGAAAATTAGCCAGATATTTTGTGTATGTTTAATTTTATTAATTTTTTTTTGATGTAAGTTAAATTTTAGATTTTTAAAATATGAGGAATGAAATGCAAGCCAGGCATGGTGGCTCACGTCTGTAATGCCAGCACTTTGGGAAATGTGCTGAGGCAGAAAATAATTCACACTTTTACAGCTTGTTCCTTTCTAGTCACATGGTGGTTGAAAGTTTATACCTCAAGAAAAAATGCACAAAAATAATTAAAAATGGCTTACTCATCCTCATCACCCTCTCTTTATCGAAGATCTTCAATCGTAAACCTCAGATGCTGCCAAATATTAGGAGAGAAACTTCTCATTCTCTCTCTTCATTAAATTTATACTTTTGAATTGTTGTTGAAGTAATAACATTGTTTTTGCTAGACAATTGTATTTTTCAAAGCACAATGTAAATATAATTCTATATGGTAATAGGAAAAGAATTCAGGCATCAGCCCATGAAGGTGTTGTATTCTCCTGGTGTAAGTAATTGATTAATTCTGTGGAGAATTAAACTCTATGAGGGGACCTGTATATTAACAAGGCAGGAGGCATACAGTAGTCCCCCTTGAGGCCCAGTTTTGCTTTCTGAGGTTTCAGTAACCTGCAGTCAACCATAGTCTGAAAATCTTAAATGAAAAATTCCAGAAATAAACAATTCACAAGTTTTTAACTTGTGTGTGATTCTAAGTAGCATGATGAAATCTCATGCTGTCCCACTCTGTCCTGCTCTGGATGTGAATCATCCCGTTGTTCAGCATCTTCACGCTGTAGAAACCACCCACCTGTTAGTCACTCAGTTGCCCTGTGGGTTATCAGATCAACTGTGGTGGTACCTCAGTGACTGGCTTCAGGTGATCCTTAATTTACTTAAAAAGGTTCAAAGTACGAGAGTAGTGATACTGGCAATTCAGGCATGTCAAAAAGAAGTTATAAAATATCTTTTAAAAGGTGAAAGTTCTCAATCTAATAAGGAAAGAAAAATGTCATATGCTGAGGTTGCTAAAATCTATGGTAAGAGGGAATCTTTCATTCATAACATTGTAAAGAAAGGAAAGAAATTCATGCTAGTTTTGCTGTCGCACCTCAAGCTGCAAACGTTATGGCCACAGTGCATGAAAAGTGTTTGGATAAGATGAAAAAGGCATTAAATTTGCAGGTGAAACACATGAACAAAAATGTGATGCTTCTGACTGCATGTGTTGCACTAAAAAGCATTGTGCCTATAAGACTTAAGCAACAGATTCCCTTGAAATGAGTGAAGCAAGTCATTTACTGCAAGTAAAGGATATTTAGATTTAGGAATAGGATTGGACTGAAAAATATAAAATTAATGGAAAGGTGATATCTGCCAATGAAGAAACTGGTATCATATTTCCAGCAGAGTTGAAGAAGCTGATTAAGGGGAAAGGAAGCCATCCAAAGCAAGTTTCCAACTGCAGTGATGAAGACGCCCAATAGAACCTACGTTCAAGTGCAAAGGAGGCACCAGCGAATCACAAAGAAGGACAGGTCAACTCTGGTACTTTGTGGAAACACTGTAGGGCATGAAATCAGGTGCAGTGTATAAAGTGCCCTCAAAAACAAAACTTTTTGTCCCCTGTTATGGTAAATAATTAGAAAACATGGGTGACAGCCATCTGGTTAATGAGATGGTTCTACCACTGCTTCATCCCAGAAATGAACAAATAACCAGGAAGAGGGAAGGTTGGCATTAAAGTCTTACTAACAATAGACAATTCACCTGGACACCCTGAATCTCTTTGCCTTGAAAATGAAAATGTTAAGATTGCCTTTATAACTCTAAATACAACCTAATTACTTCAGCCCCTTAACCAAGGCATCATTTGTTTGTCAAGGTCACATTCACCCACCTGGTATTTGATCTTAATAGATCAGCAATTGATGCAGACCCTAATCTGGACATAATTTAAGGCTGGAAATCATTTACTATTGCTGATACAAAATCATTCATCAAAGTTGCATCTCTTCATTTTCAGTCTGTGCGTGACTTTACAGGTGAAATATGTTTCTTGTAGGCAACAAATCACTGGGTTTTTTTTTGTGTTTTTTTTTTTTTTTTTTTTTTTTTTTTTTTTTTTTTTTTAACCCATTTAGCCATTTTGTGTCTTTTGATTGGAGAATTTAGTCAATTTACATTCAATGTTATTATTGATGAGTAAGAACTTACTCCTGTCATTCTGCATTCTGTTATTTGTTTTCTGCTATGGTCGATGGAGTTCCACTGTTGTTGCTCAGGCTAAAGTGCAATGGTGCAATCTCTACTCACTGCAACCTCCGCCTCCTGGTTCAAGTGATTCTCCTGCCTCAGCTTCCCAAGTAGCTGGGACTGCAGGTGTGCACCACCACACCCAGCTAATTTTTGTATTTTTAGTAAAGACAGGGTTTCACCACATTGGCCAGGCTGCTTTCAAACTTCTGACTTCAAGTAATCCCCCCTTCTTGGCCTCCCAAAGTGCCAAGATTATAAGCATGAGTCACCACGTGGTCTTCATTCTTTTATTTGCTTGCTTTCTTTCTTTTAGTTAAGGTGGTTGTCTTGTGCTTTAATTTCTTGCTTTTTACTTTTGTGTATCTGTTGTATGTTTTTTATTTGAGGTTACCCGGAGGCTTGCAAATAATATCTTATAATCCATTATATTAAACTAATGACAACAATGATTTCATAAGCAAACAAACACAAATAAAACTAAAAAAACTCTACACTTGAACTTTGTCTCACTGCTTTTAATGTTTTATTCTTTCAGTTTATATCTTACTTTACTGTCTATGGCTTGAAAATTCATAGTTGCTGTTTTTGATTGGTTCATCATTTATTCTTCCTACTCAAGAAATAAGTAGTTTATATACCATAACGATAGTGCTATAATGTTGTATGTTTTTCTGTGTACTTGCTATTACCAGCAAGCTTTGTACCTTCAGATGATTTCTTACTGCTCATTAATGTATTTTTCTTTCAGGTTGAACTCCCTTTAGCATTTCTGGTAGCACAGATCTGGTGTTAATGGATTCCCTCAGTTTTTGTTTGTCTGAGAAACAAAAACTGAGGGAATCTATTTTCTCCTTCATGTTTGACATGAAAGCCACAAGACAAAGTATTTTCCACTCTTCTGTACCTCTCTGCAAGCAAGGAAGTTTCTCGCCATGGCCACCACAACCTCAGGCTCACAATTAATACTGCCTGGCTACTGCTGATGTTCACTCAAGGCTCAAGGGTTCTTCAGTCAGCTCGTGGTGAATGCTGCCAGGCTTGGGACTCTCCACTCAGGGCAGTGGACTCCTCTCTGGGCAAGGACATGTCCAGAAATGTCATCCAGGAGCCAAGGCCTGAAATTGGAGGCCCCAAGAGTCTACTTTGTGGTCAAGCTGGTATGTAAGCTACAAAGCAAAGTAGACTTAACTTTTCCCTCTTCTTTTCTCAAGCAGAAGGAGTTCTCACAGCCACCACAGCTGGGAATTTGCTGGGTCACACTTGAAACCAGCCCATCTCTGAGTCTCACTAAGGCCCACAGCAAGTACTGCCTGGTTACCATTGCTCACTGTTCAGGGTTCAAGAGCTCTTTACTGACCAGGTGATGAATCCTGCCAGGACAAGACCCTTCCCTTCAAGGCAGCAGGTTCCCTTCTGGCCCAGGGTGTGTCTAGAAATGTTGTCTGAAACTTAGGGCTTTGAATGGGGGTCTCAGGATCTGCCCATCGCCCTATCCTACTGTGGCTGAGCTGGTATCCAAGTTGCAAGACAAAGTCCTCTTTACTCTCCCTCTCTTCTCTTCAAGCATAGGGAAGGAGTCTCTCCTGGAGTTGTAAGCTGGGCTGCCTCAGGTTGAGGGAGGGGTGGTGCAAGCACTCCCTTGACTGCCCCAGCTGATGGGATCAAGGTCACATGCTTGTTAGGTCACATGCTTCCCATGTTTACAGGCTCCAAGCCCAGCGCCACGCCTGGACCTAGCCAGGAATTGCAGTCCTTGTAGCCTAGATTGCCTTTCAAGTTTATTCAGCGACCCAGAGCCCTTTAGCTCATGGTAGTGAAGCTTCCCGGAACTCAGATTCCAACTGCTGGAATGGGTGATTCTACTCTGTGTAGGGCTGGTGTAAATACTCCCCTATGGGTGCTGGCTGAATTCTGCCTGGTGTCACTTTCTGCTGTAATGGCAGTACTGAGTTCCAATGCAAAGTCTCACAATCACTGTGCTCTCCCTTCCCCAAATGCAGATTCTCTCTCTACCCCATGTGGTCACTGCCAGGGGGTGGCCAACGGGTGGCATCAACAATTTGAGACTTTCTTTCCCACCCGTTTCAGTGCCTCTTTCAGTGATATAAGTTAAAATCAGGTACTGTGACCACTCACCTGATTTTTGCTTTTTATGAAGGTGCTTTATTATGTAGATAGTTGTTCAATTTGTTGTTCCTGCAGGGAGGATGATCAGTGAATGCTTCTATTTGACCATGTTGCTCTACCTCCTCTTCTCATTTTCATTCTTAGTAAGTCACTAGTGAAGAGAATACCAAGACCAACAAGTTTTAGCCTTCAAGTGAAGGTCAATTACACAAGCTTTACTGTTCCTTATGAGTGGAAGAGGGTAAAATCAGCATTATCATTATAACTGCCATCACTTAAGAAAGGCTTACGAAGTTAAACAAATTGAGTCTTCATTACATTTGTTTTGTTTTGTTTTTTGGAATTAGAGACTCTTACCCCGGTATCTTGCCACTTCCGCTCCAGTGAACTATTCCCTCAGCGTGAAGCTTCAAGGAGTATATTTCTAAATTTCTTATGTCCAACTCATTTCTTCTTACGTTCCCCCTTCAACCCTTTCCCAACCAAGCACATTCCCTCTTCCTGGAGTCTGCTAAGTAAAAGTAAGTAAATGTTATATATACTATTCATTACTGTATTAACTTGCTGATTGTTTGATATGGAATTTAGATAGGTTTATGTTGAATAAAATTGAGGAATATAATTTGTTTTGTTAATTATGATAATTGCTGTAATATATTGATTAATAAAATTTGGGAACTCATCCCTTCAGGAATGTTATTCTCCACTAAAATTACATTTTTTATGGGAAAATAAATTTATCTTTCATCACTTCTACTGCTATAAAGTCAATTATCTAAATAAGTCAATGGCTATAAATTTAAGTATCATTTTTCTAAATTAGTGTTTCCATTGATTAATTTAAGTGAAATGACATTGCACGATATAACCCTGAAATTAGAAAAATAGGCATCTCTGTTTTTGCTAAATGAAGGCTGAAAACAATTTTTATGTTCTGCAGATAAATGCAACAAACTTTTTTTGTTTGTTGTTAGAGTTGGAGTCCTAAATATGAACTAATGTTTAGCTTAATATAAATATATATGATTGCACAAATAAATATTCATAGATATGTATATATACATAGGTTAATATAAGCAGGCATATTTACTTGTTCTGTCAGCGAGTTGGCAGGGCCTAGAAGCAACAAAATGCCAGTAACAACCCAGTCCTTGGATTCTTCTATTCTCCAATAAAAAGAAACAGGAATGGCTGATGGTCGGACTGGGGCAAGTAGGAAGCAAGGTGAGCCTAGAGTATATCGTAGTGCCAGAAAGTAAATCTGAAAACCTCAGAAGGGCACTGATTTATTGAACTGTCTTATAAACATTTATTAACTGCTCCTCTGAAATCATGTTCATACTGCAGTACATTAAATAGATTCATAGGATTGTTTTTTTTGGGGGGGGATATTTTTTAAAATAAACTTTTTATTTTAGGATACTGTTACATTTACAGAAAAATTGGGCCATATAGAGAGCACCCATATATATGTCCAAAACCCAGTTTCCCCTACTAACACCTTAAATTAGTGTGATATATTTGTTACAATGAATGAGAAATATTGATACATTATGATTAATCAAGGTTCTTATTTTTATTCAATTTTCATTGGTTTTTTATCTAATGTCCCTTTCTGTTGCAGGATGCTATTCAGGATATCATATTAGATTTAGTTATTATTTTTCATTTTTACTGACCTTGGTAGTTTTCAGGAATGCTGGTCAGGTATTTTGTAGAATGTTCTCAATTGGGATTTGTCTGGTGTTTTCTCACAGTAAGACAGGGGTTGTCTATGGGTTATGCACGCAGTCTTTTCTTAGCCCAGTGTCAATAAGTAATATTTTCTATAAAGTATGTGAGAAACCTGATTTATTACTTTGTTCTTTTATGTAATATATAGAACTTTCCCGTTTTCTGGAAAACAGTTGATGTCTTTTAACGCAACTCTATTTGACCCAAACGTCTTTTTATGCTTTCATATAACACACAATTAGATCATAATAGCTTCAAATAATGTTCTCATTTTTTATTTAAATAGGCAACAAAGGTAAGAAGATAGAAAAATCAGATGCTTAGATGTTGATAAAAAATATTTGACCATTTATAGACTTCCATTATAAGCACAATAGTTTGGCTTCTTATTAATCCCAAAATATTTGCCTAATGCAAATTTACGAAAATTGGTTTCATCATTATCTTTAAGCCAGTTAGATCACATTTCTCCCTTATTGGGTTTCTGTGGTAACATCAAAAAAGAATTGCCTTTTTGTTTACTAAATTCAGTCTCACTTGAATTTGTTCATTATACTTTTGCATTTTTGGCATAAGCTTTCATGTATCATCTTTTTTTCAGTTTTCTGAACAAGAATACAATATATGGTTTGAATACTGCAACTCTTAATATATTGAGAATTTAATTTTTCACAGTTTTTAAAACCTATGTCTGTAGAAAATGACATATTTTTGTCTCAGATATCCACTTAATAGTACTTGCAATGAATAGCACAAAGTAGAGTCATAGTGAAAAAGATAGCACATAAGCTCCCTGATTATTTGCATTCCCAATATCTCTGTTAGCATAACATTATTATACAACCTGCCCGTCACTGGTATGTGTCCCGTGTTCTCATCCATCATGCACACTGTGGCTGATGAAATCTCTTGGCTGCTCCTCCCATTCCAGCCTAATTTACAAACAGAGAGAAAGAGGCAAAATATCTGTCAATTCTAAGAGATCCACCTTGTGCATCATACCAGAAGTCCCAAGAAGTACAACTGATTGATAGATGACCCTCTGGGTATCTATCTGTAAAGATTCATTCTGGTGATTTTTCCTGTATTTTAATTAATTTACCCTCTAGGGCATTTAAATTTTACTTCTAACCACAATTAATCTAAATTCCCTTTTAAAAAGCAAGATAACAACACTTAATTTCAGGCAATTTTGGCCTCCTTTCTCCTGGCATTTCCCTGGATATTAGGACTAAGTTCTTCAGAGTGTGCTAAAGTTATTTGAGGAAAGATAGCGTTGGGTTACCAGCTATGCAACTATCTCAGTCATTGTTTTATCTGGTTCCCAAAGATGCATGCAGTTAGCCACTGAAATGCTGCTCATTCCCAGCCTCCTGGCCTCTTGAAGCCCAATGGCTTTCTCACTAATTTCCTGCTGAAATTAGGTTGTAGTATTCATTTTGTTTCTGAAATATTCTTATCACTTCTCACATATCTCTCCTTTGCTGAGGTCAGAGAAATTCTTCTCCAGATGGAAGTTCCATTCTTCTTGAGCTCCTCTTGTCTACATTCTCCTATGGACATTACTTATTTTAAAAATGAAAATTGGAAAGTCACTTTTCCCCCGTTTTTGGTTTTTTGTCTTGGCAACTTGGATTTTGGTAGGAATTCCATTTCTCATATTCTCCTCCTCTCCCTCATCTTCACACTGCTTAAAGGAGCACTTGGGGAAACCAATCAGTATTTCTTACTCTTGCTGTCCCCTCCCCTGAAGAATTGCACAGTAACCCCTTTTTGACTGAAGAGCCTGGGTCCCCAAAAAGAAGGATTCTGTACTACTTGGGGAATTATAGAGTAGAAATTTCCTATTCTCCTCAGAGAGACCTATGGCCATTTACTTAGGGGAAACAAATACTCAAAGCTTTTTAGGACTGCTAAATCAAAGACTGATTTTAATGTACTGAGAACTACAATAAATCGTGGCCCGTGTGTTGGAATAGGAGTAAATAAGAATCGGCAGTTACAGTGATTATTGGCCTCCCAGTGGCTCAGATGGGTTCACAGACATACTCTGTGATCATTTCCTGCTTTCTTCACCTACAGAGTAAAATCGATAGTAGCAGGAAAATACAAATAGCAGCGCCTGAATTCTGTGTCCGCAGCCTAAGACAGACATCAAAATTAAAAAATGATTTTATACCCCTGGAGACATGACAGAGGTTTGTACCACCTTCAGAGAATTAAAGGTTGCAGGGGTAGAAGTCTCCATCATATCCCCAAACAATTTATCAGTTTGGTGCCTGCATAAAGTAGAGGGATCGTAGTGGATGACAGTAGCTCCCTGGAAACTTAAGTTTCATCCCACAGAATGATCCAAAAAAATGTCAAATATCTTGGAACCCTTGCTTCCATATGTTACATTAACTTTAGAAGGAAGAAGACAAATTCTACAAAGGTTCAAGGGCCTGACATATCAGTGAATTTTTTAGAGGTACAGAAGCCCAGTTGTAAGGAATGTCGTATTGGGACATTCTCTCGAAAGTAAAGGACATGTTATTGTTTCTTGTACTGTCATACCACTAAGAAAATAGTAAAGCATATGGGAAGTCTCCAAGGTTTTGGGAGCAATTTCACAATTTCATACTTGCTTTGACACATTTATCAGGTGGAACAAAAGACTTTTGGGTCTTTTATGAGTCCTAGAGAAAAAAGGAGTTTTGCAGCAGATGTAGGCGGAAGTCTGAGCTGCCATGAAGCTGGTATATCCACAATATCTCATGATTCAAGATATATCTTTAATGCCTGAAGTTTTCAATTTAACAATATGTTTGGGAGATCTTTCCAAATTAATATACAGAAGTTGCTTAATTTTTATTGTAGTTTTGGTACATGTATCATAAATAGCCACTATTAATGTACTCTTGGGTTGTTTCCAACATTGTGCTATTACACATCACAAATTTGAGCTTGCTATTACAAGCTCAAATTAATGACCTTGTAAATATTTCTTCCTTTATAAATACAGATACATCTGTTGAATACATTCCCAGAAATGAGAATGTTGGGTCAAAGACACATGGTATTATAATATTGTTAGATATTGCTAAACTGGCTTCCATAGAGTTATATAATTTTATTTTCCCACCAGCAATATATGAGACCATTAGATTCCTCATTTTCTTACCAACTGTTGTGAAACATGAATTTTTGCCAATCTGATAAGTGTAATTTCAGTAAGTATTTCTCTTATAATAAATAAAGTTGAACTTTTTTTACACACCTAGGAATTATTTTGTCTATGTTCATGCCTTTTGCCCATTTTTCTACAGTGTTACTTATCTTTACTAAACAAGACCTAAGGGATTTCCATTTAAGAAATGATCCCTTATCTGTGAGGTTAACTTCAGATATTTGCCCCAGTTTTTCATTTGTCATTTGACTTCATTTCTGTCATAGTTCTCATTTGGCTGTGTTGCTCTAGCGAGGTTAATGAGCCACTCAAAAAGCTGCTAGTCTTAAGTGGGTGTCAGAGCCAAGAGAAGGCTCTGCAACAAGTCTAGGCTTCTGTGCAAGCTGCTCTGCCAGCAGATCATTGTGTCTTATGATCCAGCATATCCAATGGGACTTGAAGTGTCAGGGGTATATAGTGATGCTATTTGGAGCCTTTGGCAAGTCCCTGTGGTTGAATCACAGGCCTGCTGCTGAGTGTTAGCAGAAACTGTGAACTTGATCATTGGCCACCAAATTACCATGTGACCTGAGCTGCCTATCATGAATGAGGCATTACCTGACCCATCAAGCCATATGGGCAAGCACTCCATTATCAAATAGAAGTAATATATAGATGATCAGTCCCTGAGAAAACTATGAAAACACAAGTGGTTTATGTAAAGAAATAGCCCGAAAACTTATGGCCCCAACTCCTGCTACACTGCCTTCCATCTCCCACTGTGCACTCTCAGCCTCATGGATAGTTACCTGTGATTAGTTGACAGAGAAAGAGATTTCCACCTGGTTTACAGATGGTTCTGCAAGTACCACCCAAAAGTGGATAGCTGCAGCACTAAGCCCCTTTCTGGAACATCCTTGAAGGACATTGGTAAAGGAAAATACTCCTAGTGGGCAGAACTTCAGACAGTACACCTGGTGGTGAACTTTTCTTGGAAGGAGAAATGACCAGATGTGTTACTATATACCAGTTCATGGACTGTACTCAGTGGTTTTGCTGGATAGTCAAGGACAAAGGAACATTATTGGAAAATTGATGACAAAGAAATTTGGAAAGAGATATATAGATGGATCATTCTGAATGGTCAACAAGCCATTCTGAATGGTCAAGATGTTTGCGTCCTATGTAAATGCTTATCATGGGTAACTTCAGCAGAGGCGTAGTTCTTTTTTTTCTTTTTCATGACATCACCACATTGATAATCAAGTGGATATAATGACCTGATCTCTGCCTACCAGTCATCCTCTTTCCCAGCCACTCATTCTTATAAACAAAGTGGCCATGGTGGCAGGAATAGAAGTTATACATGGGATCAGCAATATGGACTTCTACTCACAGAGGCCAACCTGGCTACAGCCACTACTGAGTGCCCAGTCTGTCAGCAGCAGAGGCCAACACTAAGGCCCAATATGGCACCATTCCCCAGGCTGATTAGCCAGTTACCTGGTCACAGTTTGATTACACTGGTTCACTTCTTTCAGGGAAGGGGCAGCATTTTGTCCTTACTGGAATAGTTACTCTCAATACAGGTTTGTCTTCCCTACATGCAATGCTTCTGCCAAAATTACCATCTGTTTACTGATAGAATGCCTCATCTATCATCATGGTATTCCACAAAGTATTGCTCTGACCAAGAAACTCGCTTCACAGACAAAGAAGCACAACAAAAAGCCTAGGCTCATGGAATTCACTGTTCTTATCATGTTCCTCACTATCCTGAAGCAGCTGGATTGATAGGACAGTGGAATGTCCATTTGAAGAAATAGTGATAGTGCCAGCTAGGTGACAATACTTTGCAGGACCGGGGTAGAGTTCTCCTGAAGGGTGTATGTTATTTAAGTCAGTGTACAATAGATGGCATTCTTTCTCTCATAGCTGGAATTCATGAATCAGGAACCAAGGAATGGAAATGCGAGTGGCATTACTCATCCATACCACAGTGACACACTAGCAAATTTTTTGCTTCCTGTTCCCACAGTTTTATGTTCTGCAGGCTAAAAGGTCTTAGCTCCAGAAGAAGTGCTCCCATCAGGAGATATCACAATGATTGATTTAAACTGGAAATTAAGACTACTACCTGGCCACTTGGGGTCCTCATGCCTTAGTCAACAGACCAATAAGAAAGTTATGGTGTTGGCTGAATATATTGTTTTCATTTGTGTGTGTGTGTGTGTGTGTGTGTGTGTGTGTGTGTGTGTGCGTGATATCTTTTCTTTTCTTCTCATATAAGATATATTGACTTTATATTAGTATTTAAGTATTGTTAATTATACACTATAGTATTTAAGTTATGGGATATAATGAAAAGAGTATCACTCAAATACTTTATCTTCTCTTCTGGGAAAGGGGTCTGTGCTTTTTCTGTTTTATTCAGGATAGCTTTATCATGTAAGGTGGTATTATGACCTTGTCATTGTATTTATTTGAAGATTAAGTATGGGTTAAGGAGTGGGTTTAGGTGCCAAGTTAGTAAAAGGTAAATTTGTGTTGGTTAATTTTATGTGTTAACTTGACTGGGCTAAGGAATATCTAGATAACTAGTAAAACATTATGACTGGGTGTGCTATTATGTTTCCAGAAGAAATTGGCATTTGAATTAGAGACAGAGTAAAGAGAATCAGCCCTCACAAATGAAGGTGGGCATCCATCGATCCATTGCTAGTCCAAGTAGAACACAAACATGAAGAAACGGCAAGTTTCTTTCTTCTTGAGGCAGGACATCTATTTTCTCCTGCTTTTGGATATCACAGCTTCTGGTTCTCAGACATTTGGATTCCTGGACTTAGAACAGCAGCCCCAAACTCCCACTCCTGGAATACTTAGGCCTTCAGCCTTGGACTGGGAGTTACAACATTATCTCCTCTGGTTCTCAGGCTTTCTGAGTCAGGCTGAATTGCATCATTGGCTTTCCTGGTTCTCCACCTAGCAGATGGCATACTGCGGGACTGTTCAGCCTCCATAATCACATGAAACTATTTTCATAATAAGTTTCCTGTCTATGTGTCTATTATCTATCATCTATCATCTGTCTATCCCCTATTGGTTCCGTTTCTCTGGAGAACCTTGATCAAAATAGAATTTTAATCTTCTTAAATTGGCAACACTTGTTTTGTGGCATAATATGTGATATATCCTGGAGAATGTTTTATACATACTTGAGAAGAATTTATATTTTCCTGTTGACTGAAAGTTCTATGTATGTCTTT